CACACACACACACGCTCATACACACAGAGTAGTCAGTCAGGGGCAACCGGGACTAAATCCAGACTGGTGGTTTCTTTCTCTGGCTATAAATACCCCCTCTGCTTAAAACAAGATCACACACACACACACACACACACACACACACACTGATACTCGTGTACAGAGGCTCATAGAAAAAAAAATGATTCATTCACAAACACATTAAGGCACCAGTCTAATGTAAATACACACGTACAGAGTTGTGCACATGTGGACTCTCTTGCACACACACCATAAAAAAAACTCACACACACGCATACAAATACACACAAAGAGATGGCTCTGGCCTCAGAGGAGGCTAGCTAAGCGGTCTATGATTATGGGGTGTGTCTTTGTCTCATTTAGTGGTTCCACAAGGAGACAGTCTTCTGCTGCGTCAGACAAACACACACACACACACACACACTCACACACTCACACATGAATACCACTTATACAATCACTTAGTGACAACAAATCCCTCGGCTTGAATTTGTTAGATAGCTTTTTAAGGGGAGCTGCAAATACAAAAATGGCTGCACACGACGAGGTCATTTTTTTTTGTTGTTCTGCTGGTGTCGCTTTGCCATCTTTTGAAACGGTGAAAACACAGAAGAAAGCTGATCCAGTCGCTCAAGCATGTGTAGAAATACAATCAGCCAAGACCAGTTGTGCTATATTTCATTCCTCTTTTATTTTGGAAAAATATTGCGTTTTTTTTTTTTGTTTGTTTTTTTTTTTCGTTTTTTCTTCCAGTAATAAAAATGACAGGCTCTGTACATACGACTTTTCTCTTAAATACAACACAGTCACAGTGGTCTCAAGTGCCTAACACATACATGCATACATACATACTTACATACATACATTATCTGCCAAATAAAAACAATCCAACTTAAATTATAACAGGTTTAACAAAAGAACATCACAACGAAACGGAGCACAAATAATTACATAATTAAATTAAAAGAATACATCTTTCTTTAGATAACAAATAAAATAAAAAAACGAATGATCCTAACCAGCGGCGGGCAGGGTGACGGCGTCCTTGAATTGGCTAATCGTGGAAGACTGGGAGTGAGGGGGAGCGGGAGTGGGCAGTGCATACATTGACACCATACACAGGCATTACTTCTTGTGTACACACACTCACACACACACAC